GTCGTACTTGAAAGTTGAAACCACTCAAGATTAGCTGCAGTATGTACATTTGATTGAAACTCTAGCTTAAACTATTCCATGTGAAACGTATGTTATATGCAATTTTCCTGAATGTTTATATTCTAGAGATTGTGTTCACTTGTTCCATTTTCAAAAACTTATTCATTTTACATTCCTAACAGAATAGACTTGCAGTCTATAAGGTTAAATGGAAGAACCAGAGTCAGTGAAGTTTTAAAATTATGATTTGAATCAGATGAATGTGACAGGTTGAGGAGGAGACTGGTATTCACTTGAATCTAGAAGACATGGTTGACCTCACAGCCTTTCTAGATGCATCAACTGGCTGCAAAGTTTTTCCTTCTCCAGTATGAAGTTTCACATTCTTGTTTTTCTTTTCAACTGATGTTTTTAAGATTTGAGAATTGTTTGGTGCCAGGAGCAATTAGTGTTTTAGTAACTTTAATTTTAAACTCTTAATTGCCATTACAGTTTTATAATTGTTACAGTAAAAACCATAATTTAAAAAATATATATTATTAAACATTATTATATTCATAGAGATACATATGTCATGCAGAGAGTCCAGAAAACCATCATGACTAAGGACGGTTTAGCTCTATCTAGAGCCGTTTTATTCCGTAAATCTGGGTGATCATCTAATTACCTCCATCTATTCCAAAAAGCATATACAAAGAATCATCATCATTATTAAACACCTGTTGTATGCATCACATGGGCCCGTGGGATTGTAAATTAAAACCCCAAACTTTCTGAATTCTGTACAATTCAGTATAACCCATCCATGGGTAGTAAATACTTTTGTTTTCTCAACATCAACGTGCACTATGTATAATACTGGGAATAATCCCCAATTTGCCACTGCTCAATTTTTCTCATAAAGAAACTTATAGGATGTGTTTGGATTATGGATTTGAGTAGTGATTCATAGAAGGACAGGACAAGTGAAAGGAGAGATGGCAAAATTAGAAGCTAAAATTTTGTCACTTTTCCCTGTGCTAAAAATTTATTATTTTGGAACAAAAGTGTGTCATATTTTGAAGCATGCATTCTAAAATGTAAATTGCTCAGGTATTAGTATTTTCTAATAACATTGCCCCTGGTAGTGGTGGGTGTTAAAAGGTGGCAATTGGTGTGGTGAACAATAGGGAGTACCAAAGGCCAAGGATGATAATTATAAATATGAAATTCAGACTTCTTATTTTTTTATTTTTTCCTCACTTTAATTCTGGTGTTTTTTTATTAGCTACATATGATATGACCATTTAACCCAGTTGAGCATGGTATATATTTCTGAACAATTTGTGTCTAATTATATAGTGCACTTCAGAATCTGGTGTTCTACTTTGTTCCTCTCTTTGTAGAATTCTATGTAAGAATACAAAATATGACAAAACCATTCAACTCAGCCAAATTTTCTTGCAAGAATCATATTTTCTCATTATTATTAGTTCAGTAAAAGTAATTGTTGGTTTTTTCCATTGTTAGGGAGGGTGTGATGAAGAACTTAGCCTGTTTCTATACAGGGGACATGTGGGTAAAGAAATTATCGCTCAGCTGCAAGGAAAAGAAATGGGTCTTCGTGAAGAAGGTGAGTTGATCAAGGTGCATGTAGTTGCTTATGAGAAACTCTGGCTTGCAACAGCCGATGCAAAAGCTCTGATGGCCATTGCCCTGTATGAAATGGCCAAGAGAGAAGGGCTGCTACCTCCTCTGAGAAGCTCACCCACCAACTCTTGACATTTTACATTGTATATTTAAATGAGGTTCTAATTTGTGTCGTCAACTAATTGGCCTTGTGCATCCTAGATCGCCAGTGACATTGCTCTCTTGTTTGGAGATTTTGACACTCAAAACATCACTTTTATGTCCAAATAGAGAGTATGTATTTAGTTTCCACTAAAATTTATGATGGATATGTAAATAAAAATTTGTGGTTTAAACTTTTTCACCATTGACCTTCTTTTAATATTTAGTGTGGATGCAATGAGCACTTCAATGCTTGTTATGAAGCTTGATGTATAGATTTTCTTCTCGCTGCAAGCCCTACTTGTTATGACCGCCATTTTTACTGGGTATCTGTCACTTGTAAAATGAACTACGGCTTGGAATTGGGGAATGATCTATTACCCAATAACCTTTTGTTGATTTTCTTTTATTAAAAAGTTTCTTCTTTTATCACTCTTTGTCGGATGAGAAAACTAGCAGGGGACCTGCCCAATAGGCTGTACAGATTGAAAAATTAGAAGTACAAAAAAAAAAAAAAATTTAAAAAAAATTTGTATGATTTTTTTTTTTTTTTTTTTTTTTTTTTTTTTTTGGACACATTTGTATGAATTGTTGGGTGAAAATAACTTATGGATATCCATCAAACTTGCAAGTGTAATTTTTCCTTCCAACTATGAACAATCCAATGAGCTGTGTCCATTATTAGCCATTTTTGTTATTCTTGTTTGTTGATAGTTATATTAAAGACGTAATTTTAGAGCTAAATTGAAGTAGCAAAAAATAATTAGCAATGTTAGGTATCATGAAAATAACAAAAACGCTAGAGGTTTTGAAAATTCTATCAAAAGTTTTACCAAATGTCTCACATAGGTGTGGAACCCACATGGGACTCACATTGTGTGGGTCCCAGTGAGACATTTGGTAAAACTTTACATTTGGTAAAACTTTTAGTAGAATATTTGGGGTCTCTAGCATTACTCTGAAAATAATCATGAAAGCTTTGTGAACCTTGGATTACACTTAAAATAAAACACCACACACTAATTAAGGTAATCTAAGAATCATAACTCTTTCATGATGATTTTCATAAAAAAAATTTCATGATCCCTAACTTTTCTCAAAAACCATTCCCCTAATATTTCTACACTAGTTAACAAGTCATTATGATGAGATCTGAAAAGGTTGAAACAAACAAAATTCAATGAATGAGAATACCTTGGCTTGAAAAAATCAAGCAAATGTGCAATCAAAAGTTTTTTTTTAATTTTTATATTTTTCATTTTTGAAAAGAAGAATACTTGAAATACTTGTTTTCAAATGCAAAATTATTATGTATTAATTTTTCTTTATTCTTTTTAAAGATGAAAATTCCTAATAGGTAACCACAAAATGGACATTAATGGAGGAAAGGTAAAAAAAAAAATAGAAGACAATTTGGAAAGTGAGCAACTCTTCTCAGACTCTATACTCTCCATGCCTATCAAGACTCCATTTCATGGGTCTCACGGAATCCAAGATATTGATCCAAACTGCAAATCTCGTAGGCATCGAAAGAAAAAAATATTTATGTAAAAAATTATCGGATATCAATAGACATATTAATTTATCGTATTTTGTTTAATAAAATGAACACTAGTTTAAAATTATATCATAAAGCAAAATACGATTAGTTAATATATCTATCGATGTCCAACCAAACAAATATTTTGTTTAGACATTCTTCCATTTAAGGCTTATGAGATGAACGGTTTGGATCATTGTCAAAGGTGTTGTGAGGCTTACAAAATAAAATCTTGAGAAGTATGGAGAAGATAGAGTCTTAACGGGAGTTGCTTCCCTTTGAGAAAGAGATAATCTCAAATAAATGGTGAGAAATTTCAAAATACATGGAATGAAAACAAAGAAAAAAAAAAAACCAAAAACAAAAACAAAAAATCTACTTTAAATCTCAAATAAATGGTGAGAAATTTGACATTAAAAAAAAAAAAAAACTACTTTGGAGAGATCATTTTGCCCCTTGTCTTTTCAATAAATTACCAATAGATCATAATAGTTAAACTTAATTCTCATCAAGTTCTATTAAAAACATGTTCTAATAAATTCGTCGTTAAAAATATTTTTTTGTGATGATTTTTTACATGTCGCTAAAAATTGACAATTAATAAATTTTTTTTTATCATAGTTTTTATAAGTTGTCGCTAAAACTTACAATTAGTGACGTTTTTATGTAACACTCGCTAAAAATTAAATATTAATAATTTTTTGGGACAATTTTTTAAAATTGTCATTAAAATTTATAATTAGTGACTTCCTGTGATAAAATTTTTAAACTGTTATTGAAAATTAACAATTAGTGATTTTTTTAATACTTTTCGATAAAAAATGTCATTAATTCTCACAGGATCTGTTGAATAATAAGTGTACTTATTAGGATCTACACGTAAATTGCTTCTTTTTTTTTTTTTCACGTAAATTCCTTTTTTTTTTTTTTTTTTTCTTCTCTCATTCTCTTTTCCATTGCAAATTAAGCTTCTCTCAAGCTTGATTGTTGCCGAGCTCCATCAATTCATATTCAGCCAAAAAAACAAATTAACACAGATATATTAGAGAAAAGTACCAATACAAAAGTATATTAATTCCTTAGTTTTTATGTATTTTTTAATTAATGATTAGAGAAGATATGAGAGAAAAAAATTACCTTATGTTGAGTTTACAGACTGTGATAAGTATAGTTTACTGAACCCTAAGTAGGTCCAATAGGAGATTTGTGGAGCCTCCCCTACTTCTTCCGTGTCGTCATAATTTTATACTTATAAATAGATGAAAGAGGAAGGGAACATCTCTTTTCTATAAAAGTATTGTATTATTTTTTTATCATAATGAAAACTACAGCAACCATGAATGTAACCCTATTCTGAAATGAACCACATAACATAAATATTTGTGTTCTTTTGGGTGTAATTTCTTTTATTCATTTTATCTTTCTTGTTTGTTATTTCAAAGAGTCAATTCCCAACACCTTCGATATTCTAATTTATCGTCACTTTATTAAATTTGAAAAGTAAATCTATCTTTTAAATTAGAATAACGTCCTTGCATAAAACATTCAGGGGATAGAGAATTTCAATTTGGTGTATATTGTCTATTGGATCAAATATAACCATCTAGGGTGAACCCAATTCGGTCTTTCATCTAGAAATTTGATGTCACATAGTTTCTCATAACCATTGGATCATCCAAACAGATCAGACTTCCAACTTCCAACTGAAAGCAAAATTCAGAGGTGAACTTGTGTTATTAGATAGAGCTCTGTCTGAGTTTTTTTTACATTAAACTAGTAGTTTTTCAAGTACAAGATTGTATAGAACTACAAACTTTATTACAATGGGTATACAAGTAGCAACACATACTCGTAGTTAGAAGGATGCATACAGTGGTTATATAATCATCAAACCTTGCTGGTGACAAAATCTTTGTCGGTCGCTTCCCAAATAGTAGTGCCATCACATGTGCAGAGCTTTTTGTAGTTCTCACCAACTCCTGCACTTCTAGCTATCACTGCAGCTGTGAGACCTGGATCTGATTTATCTTCAGTTCCATACACCACAATGGATCGCCCAATGAGATCAGCAACTCTAAGCTTTTCTTTAATGTCAGAATAGAAGGCTTCTCCTTTCTCATCCACATCTAATGTTCCCAAGTCGCCAAGTGGCTGGACAATCGTATGACACATTTCAGGAGATGCATTCATAACATAATTGCCATGGCACGAATTACTGCTAGTCAAAATTGCAATGAAAATGACGACAGACTGTAAAACATCACACATTATATGAAACAAATGTTCCAAGTAAGAGAGAGAGTCTCATTAATTGGAAGGAAAGGGAGGACTTGATCCATTGTGATTTGGTTCCTTTGTCTGGAGAGATCACTCCCATAAAACGCACAGCTTGTGGGCCTTATTCTGCAGATCAAATAGCGAATAAACAGTTCTACTCACCTAGATTAACACTGCCAGTGCCAAATTCTTTTCTCTTTTTTTCTTTTCCCTTCTGTTTCATTTGGTAATGATGTGGTGATGGGAAAGAAAATTACCATGATATTTTCTGGAAGGGAGGGTGGTGGGAGGGTGGAAAAATGAAAACAGGGAATCATACATAGTTCACTAAAGCTTCTTTTCATTTCAAGTATGTCCAAAGGTATTAAATGAATTAAAGGTAACTCTCCTACCATATTTGAAACAACCCTGACCCATGATTAACGTTGATTCATGATTTAATATGCCTAATAAGTTATTGAGATCAAATTCTGAATTAATTGCATGAGTATTGCATTAATTGTACTTTTATCTGTCTCTCGTAGAAATATTTGTTTCCATTTCCGTTTCGGTTTGCAAATTGAAGGCCTTATCGGCATCTGATCACGAAATTGGCTTGGTATATATGTTATTTGGAATTTTTAGAATATTATGGTAGGTTCAATTGAAATTCGATTCGGAACGATTAAATTAGATAAATAATGTCAATTGATTAGCTATTAATGAAGTCTTCCTAGTGGAGCCTATATAAGGCCACTTTGACTTCCTTAATACATTTTGCACTCTCATTTCATACTCCTCATAGCTCAAAACCTGAGAGAGGGAGAGAAAAGAGAAGACTTGAGCTCAACTAGGGTGATTGCTAGAGAATTGGGAGGAATTGACTTGGACTGAGCTAGAATTTGAGTCATTGGGAAGAATCACTCAAGAACTCAAAGAATTGAGGCTTGTAGGTAAGGAATTCAACCCTTGAATTATGTAATTAACTCATTTAAGTTCTAAATTCAGAGGAAAATGAAAGATTAGTGCATGAAATGAACTAAGTGAGAAAGAAGAAGAGTAGAGCTTGCATGTGCATTTTATGGTAATTTTTAAAGTTGATCTCAAGTAAATTCTCCATGCATGTCATGTTCTCAACTTAATTATGAAACTTCATCACGTTTTCCATCAATTTGCCTCAATTGATCATGTTTTGGAAGCTTTGAAGTCAAGAAAGTGCTTGCATGTAAGTCCATGTGTTGTTTTATAAGTTTCAAGTTTGATTTTACCCAATTGACTTACTCTTGGGCCTTAATTCTATGAAATGATCTTTAATTCTTAATGTTTTCAAAGTTTAAACTTGTTTTCTCAAGTTTTGGGCCCTAGAGTTGTGTTTTGATGAGTTAGAGTTTTGAACTTGGGAGTGCAATCTGAAAACTCTAGATTTTGCTCTTCTGCTAGAGCGAAGGAATCTATGCTCGAGTGACCACTCTGAGTGCGAGCATTTTCGCTCGAGCAACTAGAAGTCCGCTTGAGCGTGAAATGCATGTTTCTAAAAGTTCTTATGTTTTGCAGAACGCTCGAGCGACAAAAGTTGCACTCGAGCGAGGGCATGTCTCTTACGCTCGAGCGAGCGTTGAGCAGAAAAATCAAGCAACCAGCACTTTTACAAAAGTTTACAGACCGCTCGAGCGACCACTCACATTTTGCATGTCCACTCAAGCGTAGGAAGTTATGCTTGAGCGAGGACCCTGTTTTCAGCAAATTTTGTTAAGTGTTTTCAAGTGCATTTTTTTGCATCCTCTTTCCATCCTAGACATTCATAGACCAAGTTTAAGACACAACAATGAGGATAAAGAAGTAGAAACCACAAAATAAATATCACGAGTATGTAATTCAATACGTATTCGTTCTCTATCTGTGTAGGTCACGCGCCCCGAAATATCTAAATTGCCTACTCTATCTATTTACTTGGAGCCCTCTGTTATCTGTGAGTAATAACTTAGTAAAACAAGTTAAATTATTTTCTATATATGGAATAAGATCTGTTCTATGAAATGTTACGTTTATACTATGAATGATTGTCCAACTCTGACAAATGTTTGTGGTATTTATGTTATGATTCAAGTATGATATCTGTACCCAGACCGAAAGTTCCTTATGAAACTGACAAGTTATCTATACCCAGCTGGAGGTTCCTTTATGAAATTGATAAGTTATCCGTTCCCAGTTCGAAGGTTCCTTTATAGAACTGACAAGTTATCCGTACCCAGCCGAAGGTTTCTTTATGGAACTGACAAATATGACCTTTGATGCTTGTATTTGATTTGTAGCACTAACGGATGAACTATGTATGATCAAGCATGAATTCTGAATTCTGTATATGAATTGAATAAGAATACGAATATGAATCTATTCTATGTACAAGCTTAGTCATGGGACATCATTCATTTAACTCCTTTACTCTGTTATTATTCACTTGACTCCCGCTCACTATTTATATTATGTATGTAGATGATCAGGCACTTGACCAAGCTCAGAGTTACGGACCTGGCGTCTCAGTTTTTGTCAGCCAACCTTTGTGCCTCCCGAGGAGGTTCCAGACTAAGTCAAGTCCAGTGGCTGTGTTATTATGAATGTACAAGACTTGGTTCCTTTTGCTCCATGAACAAGTTTTTTTGTTTTTATGTACTTGAAGTGACGTGTAAATACTGTATCTTTTGACGTCACTCGTATGTTTATAAAAGTTTAAGATTGTCTATTCCATGTATGTCTTCACAGCTCGATGGACTATGTACATTTTATGTATTTGCTTCCACTGCCTCTAATTATACATTATTATGTTAAGAGGCCTTTGATAATTCAAGGATTACTGGCCGATTACGACGCCAAACCTATAGGAGCGGGTTTGGGTCGTGACAGAGTGGTATCAGAGCATATGTTCTACCACACACACGAGTCCATATGAGCTTAGGATGTCCTAGTAAGAAGTAGGGGCATTTCATCTGCATGTGTAAGTATGTGTTTTTTTTAAAGTGAAAGCATAAGTCTGATTATGATCACATAATATGGAAACAAATGATCTGAATATTGTAAAAGGACTATTTGCATATGTTTATGATGTTCCGTTTACCTATAGCAAATGGAAAATACAAGAAGTGATGGAACAGATGAATCATCTGAGGCTTGAATGAACCACATAGAACAAATGCTTGTAGCTTTAACTGAGGCAATGACTCAACAACAACAGAGGCAACAACCCTTACATCCCCCGCCGGTCCAAGATGAGCCGGATAACAATGATCTCATAAATTTAACCCAGAAGTTCCTGAAAATGAAACCATCGACCTTTTTGGGTGGCATTGAACCTTTAAAAGCAGAAACATGGTTACTTGAAATGGAAAAACTATTTGAAGTATTCCTTTGTTCTGAGATTCAAAAAGTCCTTCTAGCCACCTACACTCTGAAAGATGAAGCCCGGAGGTGGTGGTTGCTAATCCGAAACAGTAATGGGGATATGACGTGGGCACAATTTAATGCGATCTTCTACAATAAGCACTTTCCTCAGTGTTTCCAAGATCGGAAAGTTTCTGAATTCCAAAAACTTAAACAAGGCAGGATGTCCGTGGCTAAGTATGAGGCCAAGTTTACTGAGTTGGCTCGATTTGCTCCACATATGATAGATACTGATTACAAGAAGACACGAAAATTTGAAGGCGAACTGGATCTGGAAGTGTTTGACCGAGTAGGCATCTTGAAATTGCCTACCTATGTGGAAGTTTTAGACAGAGCGATAATGGCGGAAGCCACAATAGCAGCAATGAAACACACCAAGGCACCAACAATAAAATGGGGAAGCAAAAGATCTAGGTCTAATTTTCGAAAGGGCCGTTCCTTCTTCGCAAACAAAAAGCAAAATACTGGATCTTCAAGCAGCTCAAGCCAAAGTAGTGGGTCTATGCCAATCTGTTCAGAATGTGAAAGAAAACATAAAGGCAAGTGTCATCGTGCATCGGGCGCGTGTTTTCGGTGTGGCAAAACCGGTCACATAATTAAGGACTGTCCAATGAGGTTTGACAATGCAAATCATCTAGCAGCAAGTTCAACCGGATCTACTCCTGTAATGAGGCCCAATGCAAGAACTAATGCTAGGAATAACACTGGGAATGAAACACTAAGGCAATGGAGAGTGTTTGCTCTAGTACTCGGGGATGTGCAGAATACTGAGCCAGTAGTGTCAGGTATAATTTCTCTGTACACAGAATGCCTATGTACTGATTGATTCTGGTTCTACGCATTCATTTGTATCGCATGATTTTTCTTGGAAGTTGGCTAGATCATTAGAACCTATGAATTGTATACTATCTGTGTCTACACCATTAGGAAGTTCTATAACGTGCACTTATGTATATCCTACAAGTGATGTTTTGATTGGTAATATGACATTGTACGTTAATTTACTGCCTTTGAGCATTGACCACTTTGATTGTATATTGGGGCATGGATTGGTTGTCGAAATATTGTATCACTATTGATTGTGTGAATAAAACCGTCACGTTTAAACCACCTGGTATGCCTGAGTTTGTTTTCACTGGGAATAGGGTAGTTCCTCCACCATACTTGATTTCATTTATGAAAGCCAAAAAATTGTTGAGAAAAGGTTGTCGGGGCTACTTGTGCAGCGTGTTGACTATGTCTTCGGATAGTACTAGCGTGGAAACTATTCCTGTGGTTTGTGAATTTCTTGATGTATCTCCTAATGACCTAACCGGGAACCTAATTTAGAGGGAAATTGAGTTTACCATTGATGTAGTACCTGGAATACAGCCTATCTCTAAAACTCCGCATAGAATGTCGACTTCTGAACTGAAAGAATTAAAAGTTCAACTTTAAAAACTTGTAGAAAAAAATTCATC